ACATCGAAATATCAAACAATTATATATAAGAAAATTCAGTGCATTTATGATGCTATTACTAAATGTAGAGAGCATAACCTTTCAATATAGATGTTTTTGATAAAGCTATTAGACCCTTCATATTGTCAGCTGCAAGATCTGGAACTACTGGCACTATAGAACTTTGGAATGGGTACATTCAAAGTTTTGTTTAACATATTTTTAACATCAAAATATTGATGCCCAGCTTTATGGTTTAGGCCAAAAACAAATATGTGGGTTAGGGTTGCTGACCGACCCTAGCATTTTACCCCTGACCCAAAACTTTTTGATGAAAAGAAAATTGAGAAAACTGTGATTTTCGAATTTTAGAAGGTTCCTTGCCTTTCAAAATGGTTTCCAGCTTGGTGTTGGCGTAAATGTCAGCAAATGGAGCACAATTTGCCTCCAAATAAACTTTGTTTATGTAATTCTTTGTTTAACATACAATAGTAGTAATCACATGACCACACAGTACACAAAAATATACAAAAAAAAATGTTTTGCCGTATGGAGAATTGAGATGATTCCTTTATTAAATATGTAAAAAACAAAGTTAGTTTGACTGCATTTTGGGCTTAACTCCTGGAAGCAATTCATCATTAATTGAGTAACAATATTTTTATACGCCTGTCAAATTTGACATTTTTTATAACATGTCAGCTAAACCCCTCTCAGAATGATGATTATTTCAATGTAAGAAAGTATATAACACTATGCCATTCGTCGGGTGTATATTGTTCCACCCTGTGGAACTCTAGTTTCAGATAATTAGAAGCTATGATTGTTGGTCAAATTCTTTAAATAAATTATACCAGGTATAAGAGAGGCAATGGTTTCAACTTCCCTAAAGGGCCTATTACATACTATTAGGAAATTACTTTCTAGATGTTCTTAATTAAAAATACTAGTTGAGTTAAGTTCATACAGTAGTTTTAGAACCTGTAATGTTAAACCTATTGGAAAAAATAGTAGTTGTAATTTTCATTAGCTTTATGAAAATCATTAAATGTTAAATTGAATTGTACTTAAGACACTGTAGAAGGAAGTTTATATCT